CACTGCAAGCCCTATAGGAGTGCGTCCGGGGCCGGAAAAAAAAATTACCGAAACCAAATAAACATAGCTAGCCCCAAATGCCTGGCATTTGTGTGGATAGGCTTTTTACACAGCGGTGGCAATGCCACAGCAAATAAATGGCTGGAGGTGTAGCTCTCTAGAGCCCAACAAGCTGAAATGCATAAGGGAAGCACCAGGGACGCAGAATAAGCAACTTGCGCGGCCCCCTAAAAAATAAAATAAAAATGCTGTGTTCTGAGAAAAGACCCCACTGGAGTGTGAAGAGAGGGGCACCCTACCCGAAGAGGTGGTGGAGTTGCAGGATGCTACAATGGCTCTTCAGACACTGTGTGCATCCATTAACTGTTGGGGAAATCCATTTGCAGAAAACCGAACGAACAAGTTTGCTTAAAGTACAAAAGTAGCCAAAACGGAGTCCTCTGGGTTGGAGTGCCTCTCCTTCGTGTGCTAGCTTTCTCCTCGAGGAGAGGAGGTTACAAAACCGAGATGGGGCGCATTAAGAAGAGCCTTCCTCATCTGTTTACTCAAGAGTGATATAGCCAACTCCAACCATGCCATGAGTAGAGCTACAGGATCAAGTCCCAGAGGCGGAAACGGCTAGCCACCCAACCGGTCATGTTGCCCCTCGTGGTTATTTTTGTGACGGATCTTAAATTGGGGCAGACTGCTCGAGGAGCGAAAAGCAGGGTATGTGCGCATGCATAAATAAATAAATGAACCGAGAAGCTTTCCTTGCAGCCATGAGGATAGGACTGGAGCCAGGCAAAATCTACAGACACTCAGACATGCCAGCTTGGCTGATTTTAGCGTTTTCGGGGGTTTTCTACAGCCGACAACTGATTCGCCTGCCATTCTGCAGCCCTGCTGCTTTTTTTATCAGTGGCTGGGGCTTTTCAGATGCAAAATGTGCCAGCAGTTCAGTCCGGAGATTGAAAGCTCTTATCTCAGAGCGCCTTCGGGCACTCCCCTCTCTTCTCCCCTCCCGCTTTTCTGCAAGGGATATTTTCAACCCATTTCCTCCAAAACTGATTGCTACAGCATGCCACTTGTCAGTGAGGGACAGATGTTTCAAAAAAAAAATCTTTGGATGTCAAACGTGGAAGAGGGGACCTCTCTCTAGACTGGGCTTCCGGGGGGGGGACCCCATTCGTGCATTTTTGCTTAAAATACAGGCAGGACAGGGGACACACGGACAAAAACCCTCTTCAAAGGGTTTAATTTATGTTGCTGTTGGTTAAATGGCACAGAATGAAATATAGCAGATGGCAAAGAGAAGGGTTTGGGGGTATGTGGATAATTGCTTCTTGGTGAGTTGGGAAAGCATTAAAAATTAAGAGAATCTAGAGCAGGGAAACTGGGAGTCAAGAGTAGGGAGGCTCAAAGGTCAAACAAGATCTGGGGAATAATCCAGATCAAAGGGTGAAGCAGAAGGCCGGAGTGTAGATCAGCACCAAAAACATAGGGTATGCCAGGCAGACACTGTTGCTTACCAGGGTGGATAAAACTCAAACTCATGATTTTTTTTTTAAACCTACATTTTTATCATTTAAACTAGTATTAAAAAGAATTCCAATTTTTAAGATGCCAATCAAAAGTACCATGTTGCTTGTGCAGAGTTCTATGGAGACAGGAAGCTCTCTTATTTGCTTTCCTGCTCAGGAGAAGTCAACGGACAGGCTGGACTCAGTGGGTCCAGAAGGATCTGGAGTGGGAAGTTGCGAATGCAACAACCTGCCAGGCCGGGCAGCAGCTCCTGCCAGCGAGGTGGAGGAGGATGATTAGGGAAGAGAACATGGATCAAGCTTGTTCCATATTGGAAAAGAACTCAAAAACGTCAAAGACGTTGTCTTTTGCTCTCGGTGTATTATTCTAAGAGTGAGTAATTTGTTAGAAGCGCATTGCTCAGGAATTATTAAAAATAATTTTAAAAAGAGGTAAATGGATCATCCCTCCAAACACAACTCATTTAGGAGGAATGAGTAATCATGACTCCCTCTCTCCTTGAATCGACACACTAATGTTAAAATATGAGGGAAAGGGTGTCACCATCCCACTGTGATTGTGAAGGATCTATGAGCTTGATTGTGAAGTATCTATGAGCTTTATAGCAGCAGTCCCCAACCTTTCTGGGACCACGGACCGTTTGGATGGGTGCGGGTTCCATGAGCAGACCGGTTGGGGGGGGCGGGGGCATGCTCGCGGAGGGGAGTGTCACGCTTGCACGCACGTGCAATCAACTCTCACTTATTGTGAGAGTCTGGTTCAGCCAGCCTGAGGCCAGCCTGGCTAGTTAGGATCGTGCCCCAAGTCAGGACAAGAAAAAGAAAGGAAGATTTATTTTAGTGCTAACATTTTCTGAATTTGGACCAGGGTTCTGTGACTTAAATAGTGCTCTGAATGGCCATCAGTTCTCCAACATCTTCTAATATTCCATTCTTGACTCTTGACGTAGGTAAATAGCTCCACGTCATTAACTAAGATAGTTAATGGATGCTCGTTTGGAGATACTACTTATTTATGTGCTTATAAGAAAAACAAAAACAACACAGCCCGACAGCAGCCCATGCAGAAGTACTTATGATCCACAGGACAAAACTTTTATTTCACTCTTGCAAGCAGCCTTAAGTTGGGCTTAAGAGTGTGAGAGATATTTAAATAACTATTGACATACCGCTGAGGAAATAATGGGTGAAAGTGTCACATAACCTCTGAGGTCACATGACTGCTGGAGCAAGATTGCTCTAAGCCCTTGACAGCTGGCCTTTATCCACTTGCCGCTTTCCTGCCTCAACAGCCATTGGGATCAGAGTAAGTTAGAGAGACGTTGGCTTTTCAAAATTACTGTACTTACATTTACCTTTCATCTGGGCTTAACCGTGGACTTTCTCAGCCATTCAGGTTCATAGTTTGTAGAGATGTACTCTGTATCAATGGACACGATGGCTTCCTGTTTTGTCTATCGCTCTGGAAACTACGTTAAGGTGTTGCCTGGTTAGTGTAGGTTTAAGGTGGTGAGGTCTGGCAGGGCAGTTGATGTGGTACTTTTGAGAGGTTGCTGTTGTTTTTTAATGGAGCTAAATGGGTTTGTTAGGGGGGCAGCCAGATGTAAGCTGGATTTCAATAACAGACTTCCCACACAGATGGGAAAGAGCAGCATTTGTGGGGATCCATTTCTGGGTGCCCCCTTTTCTGAAACATTTGCCCACTCTGCGTGATTAATCTCTGTATTTCATCCCTAGCATTCATTAGTTTGTATTTGGTTAATCTCCTTCCTTAGTAGCCATAATTAGAAAAAAAGTTTTTAAGTTGTTCAGAAATGAACAACGTACCTCTTTACATATTGTTTCCATGTCTGAAGGGTTCCAAAGATTATTGTGTTTGAAATGTTTACCCATTTGTATGATGGTATCAAGCAAGCTTTAGGTCCAATACAGAAGAAATCTGCTCCCTTGAAGTCTGCTACAGGCGTGATCATCCAGGACCAAGCACAGCAGATGGAACACTGGGTGCAGCACTACTCTGAGTTATATTCTAGAGAGAATGTAGTAACCAAAGAAGCATTAAATAACACTGAGTGCCTCCCTGTCTTGGAGGAGTTGGAAAGTGAACCAACTTCAGCAGATATAAAAGTGGCCTTGGATTCCTCGCCTTTGGCAAGACACTTGGAAAGGATAACATCCCTGTTGAAGTATTATAAAGAGACCATCACCACCGAACTGTATGAAGT